TTCTACATTAATATAATACATTCGATCCAACTTAATATCGAAAGCAATTCGTTTGCAATTTTTAAACAATTATTTCCAATTGATATAACAGTTCTAACGGGCGAAACAATTTGCAAGTAAAATATAACCCTGTCAAGAAAGGTTAAGCGAACCGAGGTTGAAAACAAAGAGTAGCATGTAGAACGGTACATATAGTGCGTAGAACAACAACGTTATTCATTAATATATTCCAGCAGCATTGTCTGCAACGTAACATGTCGTAACCTCTAACCGAATGAATATATATTGGGTGAATTTATAAGTTAAAGCTCCGCACCACTTCACAAATTGTCGTGAAATAAATATAGATCTGTTCGATCGATCGATTAATTAACGCACAACCAAAATATAATTGATTAATTGAATTAATTAACAAAGATTGGCGGCGAACGAAAATTTTCACTCCCTTGATCTATCGTTTAACTCTGACTTGAAAGGATGCAGGCGAAATGCATCGGAGAACATTTCAACAGGTTCTTTTGCTAAGATTGTTCGATGAACTCGTTGAATAGCGCACGGTAGGTATCATTGTTCGCCGAAGAATACCCTACGTACGTTTCTGAATGTGCTATTACCTCAGTACATGGAGATTAGAGGCTATTGTCTTGGTCTAATAGCTCCATGTTGGCATAATTAATAATACATCATCCATGCAAGGGTGTGCGAGGTGACTGTCAGTAATATTCCACGGTGCATCGGTTGCCCCGGTATCCGGCAAACTGCATTACCTGATTAAACTAAAGATCGAAGTAGTACGAGTCCCGTAACAATTACGTTACCTACGAATATACGTCGTTCAATCACGCGACACTATGCGCGAATTTTGCATACATAATACCCTGCTCTCCTCAAATAGAATCGAAGCTAAGAGGAATAATGAAATTGAACGATTATCAAAATTTGATTTTTTTTTTTTTTATCAATTTAAAATTCGTTCGTTCTCCTTCTCTTATTTCCCTTATTTAAATTAATAAAATGAAAGGTTTATTCGTTCGATATTACATTTCTATCGATATTCGATATTTAGTTTTTCAATGTTAAAGCGAAACGCCGGCAAATTTCGAGCCGAATCAATTCGTGCTCGAAATTTGACAAAAGCCAGCCGACCAAAATGGAAAAAAATTCGCAGAGAGAAACGCAAGAAATACAAAGTTGCAGCGGCACTCAGCACGGGGCCTACAGTATATCCGTGTCGCGTTTAAGGGATCCACCGTGTATATACGTGTCTCTGTGTCCACAACGAAACCATCAGAAACTCGGTCAAGGAGCATCGAGGAAAACACTCGGTTACGCTCGCGTTGTGAAACGAGTTTGAGTAGGAGAGAAGTGGGCACTTTAGACTCGTTTAGGTTCCTCCACGTTTGCTCCCTTGCTCGTAATATTCCCTCCTTCTTCCCCCTCTGCCGAATATCCACAACACAGAGTCGCAACGGCAGCGTTTTCGAGCAACCACCGTCTTCATTTTTCGCGATCGCCCGCCTCGTTTAATTCATCGGGCCATCATCGTGAACAATTTTTTTCGAACCCTTCTCGAGGAATAAAATCGGCCCATCCGAACGTTTATCGCGCGATAATAAAGCTTTCGAGCGTGAATTAATAGAGACAAATGGTGGATTTCTCTTTTTTTTTTTTTTTTTTTACGTAGGAATCTTCCAGGTGAAAAATGATAGCTGGAATGATAGATATAGGCTATCAAGGATATATATATATATATATATATATATATATATATATATATGTTATT